ACATATTTTGAATTAAACATTTTATATAACATCAATTAATGGATAAAGTTACTCATTATATTTTCTTGGTTGATTGTGCCTTTTACCAATATGAAATATCCATTTTTGTCACATTTAGTGATGGGTTTGTGTGTGTGTGGGGGGGGGGGTGGTTACTGGAATATTTTAGAATACAATATTAGCATGTAACATAACATTGCTTTCATTCTATTCATACTTGATTGGGATGTCTTTGCTCCAGTTCTCTTTCAATCTTTCTGTCTTATTTCCTCTTAAGTATGTCTCTTGTAAATAGCATGTAACTGGCTTTTGATCTTTTATTGACTTAAGAATATATTTATTTGTTAATTTACCAGGAGAATTTTATTACTCTCCTTTATGGTGATCTGTTTTATTGGTTTTTATAGTATTTAGAGATTACATTTGCTGCATAAATGGAATATCTAAATATCAGTGGCTTAAAAACAAACGGGAGGTCTGTTAGTAAAGAAAGGAAGAATGGGTGTTGGATATATAACTAAGAGCTCTGTTATGGTCTTAATTCCTTATCTTACTGGAGAGCCAGAATTGCATGGTGATTGTGGATTTTAAGAGATGTGGACTCAAATGCTGGCCCCTCCACTGCCTAGTGTGTGATCTTGGGCAAGCTAATTTTTAGATTCATTCATATAATGTGAATAAGGTCTTTTAAAGTATGGTAGGGAGAATTATATGGTAATACGTGCAACCCATTCAGGGCACTGACCATTGGCTGGTATTTCCATTTCTTATTTGTTGCTTTTTATAACTTTTATTTTCTTCCATCTTTGGACTTGGAAAATTCCATTTTTGATAGAATATCATAGGCATGTTAGGTAAATCAAATGCAGAACAAACTGTCCATTCTCTGTCTTTCCATGTATCTCTGCAGGTTTTATATCTAAATCTTCCTCTCACGTGAGACCTTGGGCATGTTTTTCCTCCACACTCCCCACCCCCATCCCCGACTCCTTCCTTCCAGAAATTGTTGAGCTAATCTGAACATTCAGCTCCAGATTGCTATTGTGGTTTTTGTTTGTTTTTAGCAGTATACATCTGGCAAGCTTTTCTTCTTAATATTTTCATTAAAGTTAAAATTACATTAATTTTACCAGTTTCATTAGGCACCACATTTTCTTAAATAACATATTTTGTCTTTTTTTTGTCTTGAGTACTTTTCATATTCATTTGCAAGCGAAGTGTGAGTGGTAAACTTTCTGAATCCTTGAATGTCCAGAAATGTTTTTTACTCGCTCTCATAAGTGAACAACAATTTGGTTGGGTGTAGAATGCTTGATTTGCAATCCTTTTTTCCTAAAATCTCTATAAATGCTGTTCCAATGTCTTCCAGCACTTAAGGCTACTTGCTAGATACTAAGCTATTATCTCTCAGCTCCAGACCCACCCTCTCTCCTCTGCTTTGTGATGGGAGGTCAGGCCTCAGCATTACAAGTCTCTTTTGTCAGCTCACTCACGCTTATAGGTGGGCTCTGCCAACAGCGGGTACAGAAGGAGACAGGACGCCTAAGGGAGGGGAAGGCAACAGCTCCTCTGTGTTTTGCTTTTTCTGTTCAGTCTCACTTAATCAATGGATTTTCACTCTGGTAGCAGTACTTAGTTCTTGTTTCCAGTTTTTTTCCCTACACTGCCAGATCAGGCTCGCAGCATCACCTCAGAGGTACCATTACCAGCCAAACTGGGACCCCTCCTCCCAGGTCTCAGTCCCAACTCCAAAGAGCACCTCTTTTAAGATGCTAAATATTGGTTATCCCAACCTCTTTTTGTGGATCTCCCAGCCAGCCCTGGGAGTGCAGCTTCTCTCGCATCTCCTACTTTGTGTTACGACCATATCCTCCTTCTGCCTTTCCAATCCACCAATGCTATTTAACAGATTTTTAGAATCTCGTTAGGAAAACTAATTGTAATTTTTAAAAGTTTAATTATGTATTCTATGTTAACTCTTTCACTGGAGGTCATTTTCTCTGTCTGATCCTCCTGTTTTCTTACACTTCTCATATAATTGGCAATTTTCTATTGTCTGCTAGTAGTCATAAATGAAGGCTTAGAGTATTGACTGGTCTCCTGTTAACAGCGTTGGCCGCTGCTTGTATTCTGAAGACTCCCATAACTACCCACCAACTGAACAGGGAGTTTTAAGCCCCACTGTGGGAATAAAACTGTTGATTTACTGTATGTTTTCCCACAAAGACAAACATGGGGGATAATGCTGAGGCCAGCACCTCTGCAAACAGACTCTTTCTGGATGAGGTCTCAAATTCTTCAGTTTATTTTTCTCTGACTGCTTTCTAAGGTGCTTCTGAGGAAATAAAGGCTGCTGCTAGCTGAGAGGTTCCTCCTCAGCCACTGCTTGGCCTCAGAGTGTCTCCTCTAGGCCCCTCTGGCTTTGTGGCTCCATCTTCGATCTATAGTTCAGGTGGAGGACTTTCTCATCCTCCCAAACAGATAGCACTTCCAGGTTTGCCTCCCAACCTAAAAGAAAGTTACAGATCCTCTAAGAATTATCTCCCATTTCCCCCTGACTCACTGAAGAGTGTTCACAAGCTTTTAGCTTCCAGTGCCTTCTTTTGGTTTGGTATACGTTTTGCTATTTGTTACGCATTATTTTTAGATAATATTCTTTAGGTTTGTGGCATGAAGTTGGTATTGTTCTTAGTTTCACTATACCTAAAATTTTCTCCTTTTTTTGTTAATTTCTTTGATTTAGTGAATTGTAAATATATGGCCTGCCACCATCTTTCAGAAGTCTGTCAATATATGATTTATAGTTGAAGAATCACTTATGAGATTTAGTAAGAGAAAAAAATATATAATCATATGTAAAGTGAAGAGAAAAGATTTCATGAAAACTATTTCTTAATAATTATCAGTATGCAGATATATATAATCTCCAAATATCCATTTCCAACACTTTTCGTGAGCTTTGGAATTCATTTCTGGCTAAATATCTCCATGAAACCCACGAACTTAGTAATATCTCTATTGACGCTTAATTTGGTTATTAAAATGGAACTTCTAGTAAGAGCTAAGACTCCAAGAAAATAGATGCAGCAACTCCCAACTTTGAGTAAGCTGCAACACTGCCACTTACAAAGCAACTGGAAGAAAACCAGTTGCAGCTGTCAGCTTCATATGTAAATTAGGGCAAGTTGGAAACAGAAGAGGATTTTTGGAAGAAGCTCTGCTGTGGCAGAGATGTGGGAGTATTTTCCTCTCATGTCAACCCTAACGAAAGAGGCTTAAGAGGGACCACTCAGAAATTTCAGTTTACACTTTTGGAACTTTGGAGACACAGGACTGACATCTGGCTCATTTGTGATAAGGGACTGTCACGCTAGCTGCCCTATGCCAGAGAAGTTGCCACACTGAAGATAATCTGTCCTTCCAGTATTTGTTGGGGCAGAGAATGCTTGAGCTGTTCCATGGGCCAGATATGGGTCACGTGTGAGAGTCTTCTCACCTGCTCAAGTAGGCATGTCGGGGGGTAACAGTTCCAGCAGAATAGGGGAGTGTGAAGTATACTGGGAGAAGAGTTGTGAGCAACCAGTGAGAGAATATGCTTTCACCCAATTCAAGGGAGCCACTAGCAACTAAATATTTTCAAGACTGCAACCCTCTGCCCCTTTCCTTTGCATTTCTGATCCCCTTTGCTTGCTCTACTTTATTTTCCTAGCGTGTGTCTTCTAACATACCATATACATTGGATACTAATCATCTTTACTTAATATCTAGACTGTATGCTCCATAAAGGCAAGGATCTTTGTATATGTCGTTTACGGATGTATCCCAGTCACCAGAATAAGGTTTGGGTCATGGTCGTTACTAAAGAAATGTTTTTTGAATTTGAATATGCATTGAATTAGGATCACCAAAGAGCAATGAAACAACCCATGGAAGTAAACATTCAACATCTCCCATGCCCAGAGAGCCCCAGGGTGAGAGCATGGTGATCTAAAGCCACCCAAGTCCAATGTTTCATACTCTGACCTCCCCTTTCTGTTCACTCCCCAATACTGACCTTCAATTCTGGGGAAGTCTGAGGTAGGCTAGTCAGTGGGCAACTAGGAGTAAAAACCCAAAACGGGTTAACAGAGAAGAAACCAACCCATTTCCCAATATAAGTAGCCTGCCCAAAGAATATCTGAGCTGGAAGGGAGTAAAGCTTTAATTATAAATAAAATTCAGAGTTTTATTTTAAGTATTATTAGTGTTACACTGGACTTTCTAACATATTGAAAACAACAAGTGGTTTGGAAACTAGAAATAACTGGAGGAATGTTCACTTACCTAAAGTTGACCTGAAAATGTCATGGAGGCTATGAAAGATTACCTCCAAATGCATCGAGGGTTTTGAACGGATAGATTTCTGACTACATTCCACAAGGTCTGCTCATTTTGCACACCAGATGCATTGGCACATTAAAAGCACTCATTGTCTTTTCCTCACTTATAGTACTTGCCCTCTTGTCAAAATTCTGACCATCCTTTAGATGGACAAGTTTGAGACTGTTTCTTCTACATTATCATGGGCAGCTCAAGTCCAGAGTCCATCCAATAGCCCTCATTTTCTAGCATGTGACAGAGTACATAACACGTATTAAACTCTTGATTAATGCTTGATGAGGGAAGGAATGAATAAATGGTAGGACTTCTTGAGAACAGAAAGATTTACAAGCAGCAGAAAGAACAAACTGTTTATTCTGAAGTGTGTGAGGGTTAAAATTAGTTGAGTAAAATGGATGAGTACATGTTCATTTATTGAATACCCAGTAAAGGTCCAGTCCATTTTTCTTGAATGAATGAATGAATGATAACATAAATGAATGTGGGAAAAAATCGCTACACATAATATAGGCAAGATAAAAAGAGAAAGCACAATTTTGTTAATTTGTTTATTTAGTGTTCCTGCCAAAAAACTGGATTTGTACTTTTGTCCCTGTTTTCTTTTTTTTTTTTTTTTCCAGGTGATCCTTGTCTTTGTCCTGAGCATCGGGTCTCTTATAATCTATTTCATCAACTCTACTGAGTGAGTAAAATCCCCAGCCACCCTGGTCTGTTATAGCAGTAGGTTGCTAGCTAATTTGGAATTTTCTCTCAGGAATAATACTTAATATGCTTTACAACATACTCAAGCTCAGAAAATGGATAAGTGTTTAGTTCTTCCCAGAAAGCACTAACCCCAACTCCCAAAAAGAATGCATGGGTTTCCCCTGCATCCTATATCCCCTGTATCCTTCACTGCTAGGGCCTGGGGAGCTGGAGTGCTCTACTCTAGACTCTCTGGGACTGCAAACCTCCAGCTCCTCCCTTGCACCACTTATGATGGCTTTGGATGCCTTTGCATTCTTTAGGTGTTGAAGCAGAAGTTCTGTAGTTGTTTCAGGGTTTCTCAACAACTTTCAAACAACTTTGGATGGCCTTGAGAAAGGAAAATGCTAGACCTTACCTGAGATAAAGGAGCAAATTATTGTCTGCCCTTCTCTGAAGGCATTCCCTTCTTCTATCCCAAAGTTGGAACAGTTTCTTGGACACAACCGGATCTAATCTGAACTCCATACTGATTCTCTGGGAACTAGGCTGGACTTCCAGCTGAAGTAAAACTAGGATTGCAGGGCCGCAAAAGGCAGGCAGCTTTAGAAATCCTAGGGAAACTAGTAATATTTGCTTTGTGAATTCCTTACCAATATTTTAGGAAATTTTCTTTGAATTTGGTTTGGATAAGTCCATTTGACTCTAGAGTAGCTCTATATCAGAAGGGTACAGAAGCCAAAGTGTCCTGGCTAGGTAGATGTTCTTACAAACTAACAAGAGCTACGTAATCTCTATGCCTCTGAATCCCCACTGTTAAAACGGATATAGAATCAACAAACTCCATGAAAGGAATAGCAGATTATTTTTGTTATTTTCAGCTCCATGCACAGTCCAGTGGCTTTGTTCATGCATACCTCTACTCCCAAGAGAAAAGTCATTTCCTTGAGATGTGAACTTAAGTGTCTGGATTGGACATACATGATGAATAGATAGAAAATTGCCTACCTTTTCCTTTTATTTGGTCCTATATAGACACAGCTTTTAAAATGTACATCTTTATAAATTGTCCTTGTTTCTTTTCCAGCCCTGTTAGAAGCTGTTCTTCATACCAAGACAAAACCATCCCTATTGATTTGACTTTCAATGCTTTCTTTAGTTTCTATTTTGGGTTGAGAGTAAGTACCTATCGAAAGTAATAGTAAACAGATGAACACAACAGATGCAGCATAAAGAGACTTATGTGTGCCTTAGTTATACAATCTGCCTATGTTTTCAGGCTCTAAAGCTAGAGGGCCAGTGCCATAAATTGTTAAATGTATAATGAGACGTAAAAACTCTCTCATCTATACTTGAAACTATAAACCAGGTCAAGAATTCCAACACAAATGAAAATGATTCCTTTTTTAAATATCATCCCCCTGTCGTATTGTCCTCCTTATTGCCTTTCCACCTACCACTGAGAAAACTTTGCTAATAATCACAAGCTAGCAGAACCTGAATAACAAGCCTCTGAAAATGTCATTGGCTTCACTTATGGCATATGTGCCATATAACTATATAAAATACTTTTGTGTCTTTACTTTTGTTATACTCATTTATTAATGTTTCTCTCGTTCCACAAGCATTTATTGAGGACCCATACCAGATCTAGATTTCAATGTATTTATCCATCCCATGTTTGTGGGAGACTATATACATATACATACCTATATACATATGTGTATATAGGTATGTATAAAAGATATGTCATAAATATGTATATATGCAATTTGTATTTCTGGGACCTTCCTTCAAAACTTACTCCAACCACGCTGACCATCAGAATCTTCTTTTTAGAGCAGGCTCTCCCTTCTGGAAATGCTTGCTTTCTTAATTTAAATAGGGAAGCTTATAAATGAAGGCCTTGACTGACCAAGCTTCTAGACAGCTGTACGTTTTCCATTGAAGAGCATCCCAAATCATGCACCTTCACTGTGCACAAATGGGAGTTTTATCTGTGTAATTATATGTATCAGAAAGCTCTAGGAGCAGCAGGAAAGTCAAAGTGTTTATTCTGAAATGTGAGAGTTAAGATCTAGTAAGTAAAATGGGTCCATGTTCATTTATGGAACACCCACTAAAGGTGCAATCTCTAAATCTATATAAATATGTATGTATCTATATATCTATATAAATATATTCATCTATTTAGTTATATAAATATGTGTGTGTGTGCATTTCTATATATGTATGTATATAATAGAATGAGATCAGAGCTTCAGTTGCTGAATGAAATGTAGCTGAATAAAGCCAACCTTGTGTTCATTTTGAAATTCTTGAGATTAACGTAATTTGGGGTCTTTTGTTTCCATTTCATAGTTTCTGGCAGCTGATGACAAGGTCAAGTTCTGGTGGCAGATGAATTCGATTGTAGACATCTTTACCATCCCACCAACCTTTATTTCTTATTATTTGAAGAGTAATTGGCTAGGTAAGTGTATTGTGGGAATCAGGAGCAATACCTAAAAGGACCCACAACATTCATTCATAAGGATCCCTCATTTTCCTTTAAAGCCGAAATGCCATTTAGAAAAATTCCTCACCATGATTCTATGGTTTTATAATATATTTCAGAACCCATTGTTTTTATCTCACTCCCTCACAATATCCCTGATTCACAGTGGATGTCAGTGGTTGTTTATTGTTTATGGACTGGCTCGTCCACAGCCAGAGAGTCAAGGCCCCAACATCTCACCCCACCACAGCCCTTTATGCTGGGCTCCCACACGCACTGGGAGGATGGAAGCCTCCTTTGGTTTTTGAAAGCTACAAATTATCATATCTAGATATGCTGTGACATGTCAGAGGTTTATTTAGTTGTTTCCTTTGTCTTTAAGGTGGATGAATTGATAGCACATGGGCATTATGCGGTTTTATCAGTTTTTATGTAATTTTTCGTTATTATTATCTCTATATTCCTTGCTATCATTGTTATCAAACTACATAAAGTAAAACATCATGCAAATAGTGAGGAGCATATCATAGAGATTCCAGAGGCAGGAGTTTAAGTGGTTTGTGTATAATTTGGTCTCTATTCTAAAGAAGAGTTGAATAAAGTAAAATGTGAGTTGTGCTTATTTTATACTTTATATTAGCGCAACAACACTGTGAGCAGGTACCGTATTAATTCCCACTTTACAGACGGGAACTAGAGAAGTTAAGGGGATTGTTGTGAGGACAATGTCTATTAAGGGTCAGGGCCAGGATTTCAACTCGAGCCCATGCTCCTAAACCTATGACATTATAATATACATATATGCGAGCGTTTCAGGGAGAGAAAGAATGTAAGCAGACCCAGTTGTGTTACAATTCAGACAGCTCCCTCAGTGACCCTCTTCTTTTGGCAGCTTTCTCCTTTCCATTGCTTTGTAGGTTTAAGGTTCTTAAGGGCATTGCGGCTGCTGGAACTTCCTCAAATCTTACAAATTCTGCGAGCAACCAGGACCAGGTAAATGCCAGCCCTGCCTCAGGTACTACTCACTTACTGGTTTGGATTAGGAGATTAAAATATGAACTGAGCCTTCAACTCAACTCATTTCCCATCAGAATCTCAGTGCAAAAATTGTGAACTCCCTTAGCTGCCAAGATAGTATTTTCTCACTTTCTCCCGTTAAATATTAACATCCTGCACTGGCTAAGACGTTTGTAATTATTTTAAATATTTTGTTTCTTTGTTTTATAGAGCTAAAATGTGTAAGTCAATCTAGACTTTAGTTCTGCCCCTCCTCCACTCAAATGAAAAATCAAAGTAATGCAGAGGCTTTATTTCTACACATTTGCTATGTGAATCATGTCTTTCCTGTCTAGGAATATAAGACAGTTCCTTTGAGCATGAGTGTTGCCCAGTAGCAGCAGTGAACTATTGCTTACAGAAATAGACCACCTAAATGGCTCAAAAAAAAAAAAAAAAAAAAAACCAAACCACCTTTGAACATCAACACTTCTAGTTTTTAACCAGTTTGGTCTTATGTTACCACACAAAATCTCCATGCCTCTACAGTCCCATTAGAAGGATCGGATATGACAAGCCAGGTGGATTCCACTGCTAAGTGTTTATCATGGTGGAGCAGAGTATGGACCCCAGTCAGGATCAGAAAGGCCTGTTGTGTGTCACAGGTGGCCCTGCCTGAAAACCACAGAGATTTCATCTAACTTCTAGGACTTGACTTAGGAGACAGGAGCTTGTCTGATCCTCTTCATCCAAAGATCCTCCTATGAGTTTAGCCATAGGAGATGACATTTCTGCTATGTACTCAAAATTTTATTTTGCAAGTCACTTCTCTGGATTCCTGGGACACTGTATTTTGTACCATTACTTTAGGCAATGTAGCACTCTATTAAATTTATTTTATGGTGATGCACATGTAATATATTTTTAAAAGCAGTATATCAAGCTAGTGGCTATCATAGCAAAATATTTTTGAACACGTGTGTGTGACTGGGAGTATTTTAGAGCTGTGCATCTCAAACTCTGATGACTCATACACAGTATGAGTCAAGGAGAGGATCTTGTAACAATGCAGACCTATAGAACAGGGGTAGGGCCTGGGACTCTGCATTTCTAATAGGCTCCCAGGTAATCATATCTTTGCTTCTGGTCCATGAACCACACTTTGAGTAGCAAGATTTTAGAGGATGAAGTAGTTGTGCTGTTCTGGAACCTGTCAGAACCCAACAGCTCTTTGTCTTTCTTCCTCCAGCAATTCAGTGAAGTTTTCCAAGCTGTTAGCCATAGTTCTCAGTACCTGGTTCACCGCTGCAGGATTCATTCACCTGGTAGGCATCTCAGCAGACTCTCTCATGTTACTGGTCAGCAGGAGCATCTTTTCTTTCTTTCTTTTTTGTTTTATTTGAGGCAGTAAATTTTCTTTTTTTTAAGCTGAGATATAATTGACATACCACATTGTATTAGTTTCAGGAGTACAACATGCTTTGATATTTGTATATATTGCAAAATGATTGCCACAATAAGTCGAGTTAATGTCTGTCATCATACACAGTTACAAAAATTTTTTCCTTATGATGAGAACTTTTAAGATTTACTCTCTTAGCAGCTTTCAAATATGCAATACTGTGGTCCTCCCTTATCCGCAATTTCTCTTTCCACAGTTTCAATTACCCACAGTAAACCCCAGTCTGAAAATATTAAGTGGAAAATTCCAGAAATAAACAATTCATAAGGTTTAAATTGCATGCCATTCTGAGTGGCGTGATGAAATCTCACATCATCCTACTCCGTCTCGCTGTTGACGTGAATCATCCCTTTGTCCAGCTGATCCAAGCTGTATACACTACCCACCCTTTAGTCACTGGGTAGCTGTCTCTGTTAGCAGATGACTGTCACGGTATCGCAGTGCTTGTGTTCAAGTAACCTTTATTTTACTTAACAATGGTCCCAAAGTACAGGAGTAGTGATGCTGGCAATTTGGATATGCCAAAGAGAAGCCATAAAGTGCTTCCTCAAAGTGAAAATGTGAAAGTTCTTGACTTGTTAAGGTAAGGGAAAAAATTGTTTGCTGAGGTTGCTAAGGTCTATGGTAATTTTTATTACAGTGTATTGTTCTATTATTAGTTATTGTTGTTAATCTCTTACTTTGCCTAATTTATAAATTAAACTTTATCATAGGTATGTATGTATAGGAAAACATCTTTTCTTTAAAAAATAGAGGTAAACCTTCCGAGCTCCTGTCTCCATCACTGTAACCAGTGTGAGGTTTATCCTTTTATTTTCCTTTTCTGGATTTTCTCCACCACCATATTTCTCACAAGTATGTATCTCCCACACTCAAGGTATCTATGTTCCTTCTTTCATTTTTCAAAACTTACTCCTAGGAAAGAATCTAATATGCTTACCCTTCAAAGGTGTCAGCAATAGGTAGAATTTATCACTATATCTCCATAGATGTTCCAGCAGTAAAAAAAAAAAAAGAGTCAAAGAAATGACTCCAATGAGAGAATTTGACACTTATAAAAGCCAGAGAGTTGGGAGGAGTTGCCAAGTTGCAAAGGGAAGCTTTCTTGGTTCTCCTGAAAGCAATCTGTATACGTAGCTGCTTCCTTTTCCCACAAGAAAGGCTAGTTTTTATCCCACATAATCAGCAAAATAATAAATGAATTTCAACAATAGGAAAGAAATTCTTGGACTTTATTGCTTGAGGACAGTTGAGGAACAGTCATTAGAAAATTCAGAAATTGAAGTGCGATGTTAAAAGCCTGCAGAGGCCTTTGAGAAAAGCAAAACAAAATAATACAGTAGAAGTCTTTTGCACTTGAGTCTTTCTCCGAAAATCAATTAAAACAGTAACAAGGAAAAAAGCAAAAAAACTTACCATCTTCAATTCACCAAGAAAAATGTCAAACACCAAATGCAAACTGATATGAACAATCCTTCAAGAAATCTGAAACCAGCTACATCCTTCCTCAGGACTCAATCAGGAGAGAGATTTCTCTGAAAAGCAGTGTCACAGCAATCAAGACAGATCCCTGTATCTGAGGATTGGACCTAGGGGCATGGGCCTGCAATGGAAGGAGAATCATCAGTGTCCCTGTAGGGACCCATTGGCCATCACATAATGGCAGGCAAGGGAATGCTAAAGGAGAAACCATGGTAACAGGACTTTCTTGCCTTCAATAGCAGTTCCAATGAGGGGCTCTTGGGCTGAATGTGGCCTATAGGCTTATTTAACTTGATCTACTTATGTTTATATTTTGGTTGTTTTTGCCTGGTAACTTTTGAGGGGAGCTCACAAAAAAACCATGTTTCTGGACTCTGGGAAATTACATGATTCTAGCAACACATTCTCCCAAGGCCACTAACAGTCTTAGTCGAAGACCAGCTGCTTCCTGTAAATAGCATGGGCTTCCAGGCTGGACACAGTCTCTCCCAGGCTCCCTTGAATCATTAAAGTCTTTTGCTCAACCCTGTTAGCAGGTGAACAGTTCCCTTGCTCGGCATCCAGTCACCCAGGTGAGGAGACTTCCAATGAGGATGCACGCAGAGAAAGGAGAAGCAACTAGCTGACTTCTGACTTAAGGGGATCCACTGTGAGTCACATCAACATCTGGAATGTTAAAAACATAGAAAAGCTATATCTCAGAGCAAAGAAAATAGCAGATTTTCTAGAAAGAATATTTGAAATGACAAACCAAAACAAAAACTGTGATTGTCCCAACTCACTCACTTCCCATACTCACTCTGTCCTTTGGCTAAAAGTTGATACCATTCAAAGGTGAATGTTTACCAGAAAGTAATCAATATGGTTCCTATGCTTAAATTCTGCCAAAAATAACAAGGAGGCGTAGTGGAGAGCAGAGAGACATCAGTATAACAACAGTTACATAATATGTTATCAGAACAACAATTACAAAATAACTTGCCCAAGGAAACAAAGGAAAAGTTAAGAAAAAGCCCTCCATATTTGAGAAAAAAATACAAACAAAAGGTTGTAAAAAACTGAATGTGATAATTGAGACAAAATATATAAAGTTTTAAATAAAAGATTATTAAACAGTGGCAGGAGTTGAAAAATGGGCTGAAAGATACCACAGAAAAAGAAGAGGAAGAAAAAATATTATAGAGCTGAAAACTATGTTAGAGGAAAACAAAATTTAATAAATGTGACAAAAATGTGCTCAGAAACATAGTGGACAGGATTGAGGCAAAAACACTAACATGGAAAAGAACAAAGATCCTCAAATGATTGTAGAGAGGAAACATGAAAGATGGGTCATATTGATTCAACCTACTATGAAATGAGTGATCCTGAAGAGGAGGACACAGTAAATGGCACCAGAAAAGTGTTTTAAAATAAAGTCTCAAATCTGTGGATTAAAGGGTATACTGTATCCCAGGAAAAATAACCCTAAATTATTTATTTTAATCATAGTTTGGGGCAGTTACTGACCTTCAAGGATAAGGGGAAAATCCAAGAAGAACAAAGTAAGGTCAATATGAGGGGAGGAAAAAATGAAACTAGCCTCAGATTTCTTGGCAACATCAATCAGTACCAGGAGACAATTGAGTAGTGTCCACAAAGTTTGTGCAGAAGTGTAACCTATCCTGTTATTTTAAGCATGAAAGAGGAAAGAGCACCTATGAGCCCTTATAAAAGTGGGGCCGGCCAAGTGGTGTAGTGGTTAAGTTCGTGTGCCCCACTTCAGCAGCCCAGGTTTGGAGCCGGGGCGTGAACCTAACACCACTCATCAAGCCATGCTGTGGTGGTATCCCACATAAAATAGAGGAAGACTGCCACAGGTGTTAGCTCAGCAGCAATCTTCCTCACCAAGAAAAAATAGTATCTTAATGAGAATATCCAGCCACATAGGAGATGAATCAAAACTAAGAACTCAGGAATCGAGCAACCATGATAAAAAGTAGTGGTGGCGATTACTGAATGAGTTTAAAATAGAACAAAGATGTAACCAAGGGAATTATGGTTGCAGACTGGAGCACACATGTACGATGGAAAAATAATATAACTAATACAAATGAGGGGGAGGTAAGAGGAGATGACAGGGTGTCCTTATATCCTCCTCCATGGCATATCTTATCTAAAGTTGAAGCATGAAGTTTGAAAACATAAAATTTCAGTTTTGAAATATGGAGTTAAAAATAGATAATAATTTAATATTTTAACATCAGCCCATAACCCTTTATCTTAACTTTTAACTTCTTTCCCATCTGGGGCTGATGAGTTGTTGCTAACATGGTTGAGGAAGAGCAGAGTGAGCAAGCAGACCAGAAGGAGGCTGCCAGCTCTTAGAAAGGTGCTGGGGGATGGGGAAGGATTTGAAAGACCAAAGTAATACTCCCAAAAAGAGTGAATTAAACCTTAAAGCGTTGTTTAACTTACTCTGAGGGAGATTTCCAGGTTTAAATAAATTTAGTTTTAGTTTGTACATCATCTTGTGCAAGAATTTGATTGAATCCCTGTGCTAAGATGTTGTAAAAGAAACTACAGGGTTTTAGTTTAAAGGAAGCTGTTCCGAGCAACTCATGTACACCTTAAAAAAAAAAAAAAAAAAAGAATGATTTAAGTCTGTGTGATTTAAACTTGGTTTTCTTATAGTTCACTAGTCTCAGAAAATAGTAAAGTCTCCAGAAGTTGGTGGAAGCAGGTTAGCAGACTTTGCAACAAAATCCTCTACCAGCCACGGGAGTTATGTATAGACAAACAATCTCGTTCTTATTTTGGAGTAGGGTATTCTAGAATGCCACACTCTTAAGCTACTCATCAAATTTAAGAAAGGGTCAGGACTTGGCACACCACTTTTAAAAATTGATCAAATACTTGAGCATACTCCATTATTTCTAATTTCCATTCTACTTCCTAACAACAAAACAAAAAAACTACTTTCCCCAGGCATCTCTAGAATTTTATCATGTTTATGCTAGATAGGAATGGAAAACATCTAGGGAATATGTGAGGTATTTGGGAAAAAAGTCTCCAAATGGAAGAACAAAGGAAAATTGTATACATTATTTATAATTATTATATGTTATATAGAATATATATTCTATATTTATACGTTTATATATACTATAAATATAAAGTTTTATAACTTATATAAGTTATTCTATTTATTTAACATAGAAAAGATGATCTGATAAATTTAGTTTCCTTAAAATGTGAAGACTTGGGGGAAAATCAGAGGAAAATATTTTTCAGAGTTTTTTAATTCCTGAGAGGATTTTTGGGGAGAAGTGGGGAAATAACTTGGAAAACTTGTTTGTTTGCTCTTCCTTAGACACTAGCATTCATGTGCTTAAACTCACTAAAATGAAGGGGCCATTTAAGTGCTTCTTTCCTTAATGACAATCCTGATCTGGTGAAAAATAAGAATGAATAATAATTGCTCAATCTGAGAGCCTTTGGAGTCTCATGGCTTCAGGATACAATGATGTGCCCACATGAAAAGTGTGGGCAGCCACCCCTCTGTGGAGCATTCCCAATGTGGGCTCAAGCTACATGCCCCCTCAGGTTTCACCAATAATCACAATGATGGAAAACAAGACTTTACTGTCACTACCCACAATTTGCGAACCCTTCACAACAGCCTGAGAATCATTTAATATTGCATTTGGATTGAGTTAAGGTGAAATTAATCCAATGTTTTGCCTATTCTTTGTAAAGTTTCCCTTGGATTCCATTCAGAGATCTTTCCTTAGTCTTTTCTCTTTGGACAGGTGGAAAATTCTGGTGATCCCTGGCTCAAAGGTAGAAATTCACAGAACATATCCTATTTTGAGTCCATTTACCTGGTCATGGCAACGACGTCAACTGTTGGCTTCGGAGATGTGGTAGCCAAGACAGCCCTAGGACGGACCTTCATCATGTTCTTCACCCTGGGGAGTTTGGTGAAGAATATTTTTAATATCTTTGAATATAACTACGTAAACCAAAAACATTTGGTTTATAGTGAGAAATAAAGCAATAGAGGTTTGAGAGGGAATGTTGCATTGATTTAGAGCAGGTCTCAAATGAAAATGAAAAGTTCCCGGGATCCCAAATTTTCCAAACTGCATCCCCTGGAGCACATGATGTAATCACTTGGTTGCCAGGGATGAAGCATGGTAGACATAGGAGAGCAGAGTTTCCCTGTGAGTCTCTATGCTGACTTGAGCAACGGTATCTTCCTTCGTCGTTTGTCCATCAAATTAAAGTCATTCTTCCAAAGAGGAAGGGTATTTGAGATTTGATCTAAAGAATGTTCTTTCCAGCTCAAATGAGTAAGTGCTCTCTAGACTTCATTTTACTTCAGGTAAGTGAACATCTGTGCTTGATTCAGGAGTGTGTCACAGACAAAGGAAGCCTCCTCTTCCTTTAGTGACTTTAATTTCAATTCCTTAAAATCCATGACAGAGTTCTGAACTCTCTGCCTTCCTGATATTCCCCTGTCCACAACTGCTACATCTCCTCATCTCAGTCTTTTTCCCCTAACCCCAGAAGCTTTATTTTCCCAAGGACTCAAAGAATATAAAATCAAAGAGTCAGAAGGGCAGTTAGAGGTGACGAAGAGAAAAACTGGCCAGGGAGGTCGCCTTACTGCTTGTCCTTGCTTTCATCATTTTGAATGCTCAAAAGTATTTTATTAAATTTTAACCAAATCCAAAGGCTGAAGTAAGGAGGAGAAATGGTCTCCCTTTTAAAAATACAGTTCACAGTCGTGCTCCACCTAGATGAGAGAAAGTTTTACATACCTTCTTTCTCCTTTATAATCTCAGAAATTTGGGGCGTCCTTGAAAATAATGAGACCTAATTTTATTTTCTGATCATTTTAGATACTATTTGCAAACTATGTCCCTGAAATGGTGGAACTCTTTGCTAACAAGAGGAAATATACCAGTTCCTATGGAGTGCTCAAGGGGAAGAAGTAAGTGGCTTTCAAGCATAATTTCTACAGTTTAGGATATTCTACTAGTCACTCCAAACACCTGTTGTCTGGCCTGGGTGAATATATTGGCAAGGTGTTTCATTCACCATAGAGGGCCGTGCTACAATGAATACGATAAGATGATGATTGCTCCTTGGTACAAACTACTGTACAGATGCTTGTAAGAGCACTAAGTCAACAAAAATGACAGATAATGTCATTCACTGTGAGATATTATTGATTGTGGTAATATTTCTACATTCCTTATCACTGTTCTCTTATATCCATTACTAACTGTCATATTCATTTTCATCATGTGGTTAACTTATGGCTAACTTTACATAGTGGACCAAATTAAAGCTGTGGTTCAAACTTAAAATAACTCACCTCGGTTGTCTTAGCCAAAACTTTCTTAAACTATATGGGGCTCATTCACGGGCAGAGGTTTGCTAGAGTGTGGAGCAACTTCATACTTTTCTCCAATACCTCGTGGATCTCCTGTTTTGGCCACGGCACGGTCATTTGCTCCCAGGGTGAACTGGAGTTGGAGTCGTTTTCACACTGCTTCTCATTGGATATATGTTACCTCAGTTTCCATTATGCTTTTTGATCCCGGAGAAGAAAAGAATGAATTGGAGATCTTAAATTTGGAGTGATTCTTTTTTATTTAGTCTCTATCTACTGAAGAGGAAAGAGGCGCAATGGAAATAAACTCCTTGGAGTGGTCTCCTAATGCAGTTGGTTGAAAACAGAGATTGACCTAGGAGTATGATGAGGAAAACAAAAAGAAAAAATAATGAAACAAATGCAAAACAAATAAACTAGATAAGCCAAAGTCTGACCCAATTCATCTCAGAAAAGGGATATAGGACACATGCTAAATCAGCCAACAAGGTCTGGAAAATTTAAGGTTAAGTTAGGTTAAAATTTTGCTTTGTTTCCTTAAATGACTAATGGGGAGAAAAATAGCTTCTTTATGTATATTAAGCCTAAGGAAATTGACAGCTATTTTTCACCATAAAAGCTCCATGCATAGATTTTTGCACCGGTCCTAGATGTCTCTCCATTGGACTCATTTTGCTGTGGCTACTAGATAATTTTGGATGTGGAAGATAAACCAAAATAACCTAGAATCTAATGCTACCATAGCCACAGTATTTGACTATGGGAAAATCAGTGAACCATTTCAAGCCCCAGTTGTTCCTCAGCGAAGAAAGACCATATGAGCCAATCAGGAATCAAGTGGAAAATGAAGTGAAATAATACTTGTTCAAGTCCATCACAAGTTATAAATAACTGTGAAGAATCTAGCAAATACGGTAATTATTGTTGCATTCCTGAAGAGCTATGTGTAATTAAAATGTGTGGATTCATACCCTATATGAGATGAGCTAGGGACTAGAGAAATCTGGTGTTTCTTTTTTATATTGGAGATGCAGTCCTTGGTGTTTGTATTTTTAAAATCTATGTGATCCAAATACCAAATTTATTTAAAACTAATTTTAAGCTAATAATCCATCACCAAATCTAGACAGGAAGACACTTCTTTCCCTCAGATGATCCACCTCACGTGTTCTTGCTACCTAGGTTCATCGTGGTATGCGGAAATATAACTGTTGACAGTGTGGCTGCTTTCCTGAGGAACTTTCTCCGCCATAAGTCAGGGGAAATCAACACCGAGATTGTTTTTCTGGGAGAGTAAGTGTATCTGTATGGCTCATGGGCTCTAAATTAATGCTTGAAATATGTCTGAGTACTTTTAACGAAAGGAAATTACCCTTGTTATATCCACAGAAAAATTAGGAAACAATAATAGGCAAAAACAAAAGAAAAAGAAATCTCATGACCAGAGTTAACTTCTGAAAATATTTTGGGATGGATCTTGCTGGATGTCTTTCTGTATAGGTACTAATATTATTTAAGTGATTCTCTATCATTTCGGTTATTCTATACTTATCATTTTAATGACCAGAATTTTGTGCACATGTCTAGTGCACTTCATAATTATTATTGTAACTGTTCTTCTAATTATTATTCTTCCAATTCTCAGAATTGGAAATGTGAAGTTCAAATAGATGCAGATTGTTTTTCATGATCTTTTTGTTCTGTGCAGTTTACCTTCCAGCAAGCAGAGTCCAAGTCAAATATTTTGTAAATGAGTGGGAAATGCATATTGAGTACAAACAGATTTTTAAGTGGGCAAAATGATTCCTAATTGTTTTATTTTATAATTTTGATTCCTAGTGAGATTGAATAATTTTTGTGTGTTTTGATAGTTTCCTTTCCTTTTTGAAATTCTTCTTTATTTCTTTTATCCTCTTTTCCATGAGGATGGTCATCTGTAACTTTACTGACTTTTAAGTGCTCAATGTATTTTGATATTAGCTGTTTTGTGTCATATAGTGTAATTACTTTTTCTCTCTCTTTGCCTTTTAAATTTTTGTATTTTTTAATTTTATTATGGAAGAATTTGATTTACATATGCTCCAATCCTTTGATTTTCATTTTCGCTTTTTGCTTTTTTGACATTCTTGGGCTCTCTGTTCTAGAATTAAGTAAATATTTCTCAAGCAGTTTTAAGTTTTTATATTGAGATCTTTTATATTTAAGTTCTCTGGAATTGATTTCCTGTCATGTGTAGTAAACTAACTTCTTTATTTTTTCCGAATGGTTAATCGGTTATCCAGACATCACTCATTTACTAAATAAGTCCATCAGATAGGAAATATTTTGATTGTATACAGGTTTATATGTAGGATCATCTCAATCTTCATGCATTTTATAGGTGAACATTCTGTATGTTTTACATCATGACATTTTCAATTCACCACAAATTTTGGATCTCATATATGAGATGACCAATAAGAATTTTGACCTCCTTTTTGGTATTGCTGATGGACAGCCAACAGTTCTGTTTCAGTATCATTGTCATGCCTTTCTCGTCAGTAATTTGTGCATTACTTGAATCCTTATTTAAAAAATAATTTAAAAAACCAAAGTGCTGAAAGTGATAAGAGGCTAATAATTATAATCCATTTATAGACAAAGACAAAGAGGAAATCATTAGATGTATGGAAATTGACATTTTATCAGCTGCTGTATTTTTGTGGACTAATGTAGTTTATTGTAGGAACTTGTTAAGATAATAAATGAAATTTTTTAAATGATGCGAAATGTTGTAAGTATCTGTCTAGACTTTTACAATTACATCTATGCTCTGATGATTCCACAATTTATATCCTCCACCAGACATTCTCTGTGGCTCCATATTCACCTAACTAATTGCTCACTGGATATTTCCACCCAGGTGTTTCAAAGGCCAACATTATCAAAAGTAAACTCATGACCTTATGTCCTCCTTTCCATCTCACAAGTCAAATAAAAGAAAAGTAAAAGAAGAAAAGAAAACAGCATTTTCTGTCTCAGTAAATGGTACCTCATCAATGCAGTTCCTTAAAACAGAAAATTAGGCATTGCCTTTGATACTCTTGTCTCCCTCAAGAGTATCTATATACCCTTTGATAAATATCTTCAATTTTTTCTCCTAAAAAAATCCTAATTCTACTTCTATCATTCCCTCTTCACTATCCCAACCCTATTCAAAGTAAATATCTTGTCTCTTCCAAATTTTTGTAAAGGCCAATTTATTGATTTGTTCTTTTTGCTCAGAAGCTCTTCTGCTACCTTTATATGATTAGCTTATTTTCATCCTTCAGCATTCAGAGTCCTTCCCCATCCAACCTATCTAAATTAGTGCCTTTTAGTCCTTCTAGTTCATTACTCCATTGTATTTCCTTTAAAGCAATTATCATAGTCTATAATTGCAGTAGATTTTCCTTTAATACAGATGTTAAGACTTCCTTCCCTTACTGTACATTCATGATGCTCCTCTCAATAAAAGACAGAGTTCCTTTCTCTTTTTCTTTGAATCTGGGCAGGCCTGTGACTTGATTTGATAAATAGAACGCAGCAGAGGTGACACTTTGCTAGCTTCAGGCCTACGCTTTCAGAGAACTGGCAGTTTCTCTTGGAGCTATAAGCCTTCACATAAAAAGTCAGACTAGCTTGTTGGGGAGAAGGTGCAGCCAGCTCTCAGCCACTCCAGTCACATGGCTGAGACAACAGTCATATGGGTAAGTCATTTTTTGTCACTCCAGCTCCCAGTCAAGCTCTCTCCTGAATGCACCCACGTGAATGGCCACTGTCAACACTATAGGGAACAGAAAAATTACCTTGCTGAGACCAGCCAACCCACAAAATCATGAGAAATAATACATTATTGTTATTTTAGGTCAATAAGTTCTAGAATGGTTTATTTTGTGGAAAGGGATATCTAATACAAAAAGTAGTACTGGAAGTCAGGTTCTATCATAAGCCAAAATTTGCCCTTTTCTTTGGAACCGATGGTAGGCAGAGGTTTGGAAAGGTTACATGGAGACTCTTAGTAGAGATCAGGAAGTCAATGATGAAATCTCTGTTGAGTATTGGAAGAAGAAACAGAATTTTGATAATAGTGTCACTAAAAATAACATGGAAGATGGAAAATGTACTTAGTGAAATTGTGAAACTAGCTTAGAAAATTTTCTGAAAGAATGTTGGGTGTCATTTGCCTTAGTATAATCACATATGATAAAGTATTGTGAGAAAATTGAGCTAAATCTCAACGAAGTGGGTATGGAGGAAACATACCTCAATATAATAAAGGCCATGTGTGACAACCCACACATAACATCATACTAAATGTTGCAAAGCTCAGAGCTTTTCCTCTAGGATCAGGAACAAGACAAGAATGCCCACTTCTGCCACTTTTATTCAACACAGTATGTGAAGTCTTAGCCAAAGAAATTAGGCAAGAAAAAGAAATAAAAGGGATCCAAATTGGAAATGAAGAAGTAAAACTGTCAGTATTTGCAGACAACAAAATGCTATATATAGAAAACCCTAAAGACTCCACCAAAACCTATGAGAACTAATAAATGAATTCAATAAAGTTGCAGGATACAAATTAATGTACAGAAATCAGTTGTGTTTCTACACACTAATAACAAGCTATCAGAAAGAGAAATTAATAAAACAATCTCATTTATAATTTCGTCAAAAAGAATAAAATGCCTAGCAACGAATTTAACCAGGGAGGCGAAATATTTGTACTCTTAAAACTATGAGACTCTGATGAAAGAAATTGAAGATGATGCAAATAAATGGCAAGATATATAGTGTGTTTACGAATTGGAAGAATTGCTATCTTTAGACTGTCCGTATTATCCTAAGCAAACTACACACTCAGTGTAATCCCCATCAAAATACCAATGGCATTTTTCACAGAACTAGTACAAAGAATGTTGAAATTTGTATGGAGCCACAAAAGACCCCAAATATTCAAAGCAATTTTGGGAAAGAACAAAGCTGGAGGTATCACACTCCCTGATTCCAAACTATGCTACAGATCTACATTAATCAAAGAAGTATGGTACTGGCACAAAAACAGACACATAGATCAGTGGAGTTGAATAGAGAGCCCAGAATTAAACTCATGCTTATATGGTAAATTAATCTATGACAACAAAGGCAAGAATATAAAATGGAGACAAGACAATCTCTTCAATAAATCTTGTTGGGAAACTGGACAGCTGCATGGAAAAGAATGAAACTGTACCACTATCTTACACTGTAAACAAAAATTCACTCAAAATGAATTAAAGACTTGAATGTAAGACCTGAAATTGTAAAACTCCTAGAAGAATACATAGACAGTCAGCTCTTTGACAACTATTTTAGCAATATATTTTTTGGACCAGTCTCCTCAGGCAAGGGTAATGATAGGAAAAGTAAACAACTGGGACTACATCAAACTAAAAAGTTCTGCACAGTGAAGGAAACCATCAACAAAACAAAAACACAACCTATGGAATGGGAGAAGATATTTGCAGATCATACATCTAATAAGAGGTTAATATCCAAAATATTTAAAGAACTCACACAACTCAATATCAAAAAACCCAAACAACCTGATTAAAAAATAGAGGACTTGAATAGACATTTTTCCAAAGAAGACATACAGATGGCCAACAGGCATATGAAAAGATGCTCAGCATCACTAATCATCAGGGAAATGCAAATCAAAGCCACAGTGAGATACCACCTCACACCTGTCAGAATGGCTATTATTAAAAAGACAAGAAATAACAGTGTTGGTAAGGATGTAGAGAAAAGGGAATTCTGATACACTGTTGGTGAGAACGTCAATTGGTGCAGCCACCATGGAAAATAGTATGGAGGTTCCTTAAAATTGAACTGCCATGTGATCCAGCAATTTCACTTCTGGGTATTTATCTGAAGAAAACAAAAACACTAATTCAAAGAGATATATGCATCCTTATGTTCACTGCAGTATTATTTACAGTAGCCAAGATATGGAAACAACCTAAGTGCCTTTGATGGATGAATGGATAAAGAAGATGTGGTATATAAATACATGATGGAATATTACTTAGCCATAAAAAAGAATGAAATCTTGCCATGTGCAACAACATGGATGGACCTAGAGGATATTATGTTAAGCCAAATAAGGCAGATAGAGAAAGACAAATACCATATGATTTCACTTATATGTAGAATCTAAAAAGCAAAACAAACAATTAAAATGAAACAAAAACAGACTCATAGATACAAGAAACAAACTCGTGATTACCAGAGAC